ACAGGGTATGTGGCTGTTGGTCCTGTTAGCAGCACGTAAAACAACTTTTATTTAAATTCTGAATCGATTATAGCCTGCCTAGAAAGCGAGCAAATAGCGCTTTCATCTAACGTTAATCACTAAAAAGCTCACTCGCTTCAATTTATCGCAATCTCACGATTCCGTGAACCGCAAATAATATCTTATTTGAGCCCTCCCTCAGGACAGCACGCCAAATATGCTTACTATTTGCTCAATCCAGTGTAAGTGGAACTCGTAAATAAATAGAATATAAAAATAAAATAATTATGAAAAATAAAATAACAAGGAAATAATTATAATATTGCTAATTAATTAATCTAAATAAAAATACAAATTGTGTATGCATTAATGGTGAAAGAGGGATAGACATGGAGAAACGTACAGAAGATCCGGCCACATGTTGCTTTAGAGCGTCAAGCCAGCTGTAGCTCTGCAGAGGGTGGAGGAACTACCATCACAGGTTCTGTTTGCACAGACATCAGATGTAATTCTTATTTAACATGATTGGTTTGATATTTGTGGCATGCTGATAAAGGTCAGAGCCCCATGCATTATATTGAGAGGAATGAATGATATAGAGCCCTCAGGCATGATGGGAAACAGCACACAAGCCATAAGTAGACTGTCTGTCCTTCAATAAAAAATGCTAATGTATGAAAGGTAGGCGACAAAAACAGATGCTCTACATTCAGTTGTTTTTCATGCCTGCCAGCGACTCGACCCCCAGTAATTGGAGGAAGCAGATTTCAGCACACTTGGAATCCACAGGGGTGTCTGAGGGCCAAAATTGACGGCTGAATGAACGTGTTAACTGAGAACATCACTGGGTCCAGAACACAACCTTCAGCTATGTGGGTTTTTTTTTTTTTTTTTTACAGCAATGTACCTTTGCCTTTACTTTAAATACAATGAAACTTTTGTTAGTTAAACCCCTTAGACATGCCAAGTATTTTGGATACTTTGCACTTTGGAGTAATTTTACACATTACTAGTGTGTGTGATGTGAATATGGACATTGTAGAGCTTAAGCAAGGCTTTTAACTAGGTATGTAAAAGTGCATGCATTGTGATGCATCAATCTGACAAAGTGCATCAATTATAATATAGTATTCTTCAATTAGGGGCACTTTTGACAAAAAATCTTGAAAAAATGAGTTTTTCAAACTGATGTTCATCTGTGTTAAAGCATTTATTGCATATCCCTGAATAAAGATCTGATCATGACCTTGGCTCAACCTTCAGGAGGATTTTGGTATAATGTGATGGGAATGACATTTTTCCCTCTGTGAAGAAAAAAAATGGATAACCTTGGACTTGCTGCCAGGTTAGCTAGCAGTTATTTAATAAATAACAATGAATTCATAAAATAAAAAGAAATGGACTGTATCTGAAGTAAAATTCTTAAAAAAATTTTTTATAAGTTCTTAAAACAAAGTCCAGAAAAAAAGTTATAAAATGGATAGTTCCGGTCCTTGATTATGATTGGCCTAGCTGTATTCAAAGCCATTGTAAAATACTCTATAAACACACACCTGTCAAGTCATTAAATAAGTATTACTGTGCCAAGTATGCTTTCTGTCTATCTGATACATGGTAAACATGAAAAAAATATTTATCAGTAAATTAATACATTTTTGTTTTTGTGTTTATTTTATGAAACCTTGCCAAGCATATGTAGTAACCTTATATAAAGACAGTAAGCACTGAAGCTGTGGTTTACTGATTCTCCACTCTCCATTGTGCCTAACAAAAACTTTTTTAGGGCGTATTGCTTTACTAAATGTCTGCAAAACAAAATAATTTAATTAAACTGAACCAAACCATGACCAAATTTAAAGTTCAGAATTCATGCATTTTTTTTAAGAAATCATAATTATTCAATTGAATAATGAAGAATTAAATTAAGTCACTGTCACAGCAAATTTTACAATCCTATTTTTAAATCGAACTTTCAAAAAGATGTTTTTTCTTTCCTACCCTCTTGTTCTGTGCGATACATAAAGCTTTCTGTCTGACCAAGAGTATTCGCTTATAACAGGTTTCAAGCCTTGTTCTTGGTTTGATTAATAAGGGTCCTCCAGGTTCCAGTAAACACTTGCTCTGTGTGGCCCCCACACTCTAATGCACAGCTCGAGGGGTGGGAGTCTGACAGAGAGGCACATCTGCTCGGTACATGCAGTAATTAAGTCCATTAAAGCAGCATTCAGCCACACCAATGTTGTCTTTTACCATCAACAAGGAAGCTTCAGTCATCGACTCTTGTAAAGCACCTCACTGGACTCAGTTTAAAACAGATATACAGTACTTGTTTCCATGGTACAGTGGGTGAATTTCTGAAGATGTGTGTAGAATGATCCTGACTGTGAACGCTAGGTATGGACGCTTTTGAAACACTATTTCGTGAAGCTTCGAAAACTTTGCAAATCATTTGTTTGGAACCAGTGATTCAGAGTGCTTATCAAACTGCCAAAGTCACGTGATGTTAGTAAATGATGCTTCGTTACAGCATAACTGTTTTGAAATTTCAATGGTTTGCTGCTAGGGGCGATCTCTGTGAACGCATGAACCAGTGTTTTTTTCCTGATCTCTGATCAATTTTATAAATTTGTAGACATTTTTAATGACACTTGTGTAAAAAAAGTATGAGTTGTAGGTATTGGCCTGATTAACAAAGCTCTCCATAAAGCAAACAAAACAAGCCCTACAAATGAATAAAATAACATATCAGACGCTTCATATTTACTGGTATTAGAGGATTTGGTAATTGCATTTGAGGTTACACTTAAAGCAAAACGTTTGCAATTGTATTACAAAAGGTGGTTTTTAAGCATGTTTGAGCTGAGTTTTCATTGTATTTACACCGTTCTGCAGTAGGAGTCACCAGCACATGACGTTTCTAGCACTTCGAAAAAGTGAATAATTTTGCGAAGCAGTTGGTTGAATTAATTCAAAGTTTAGATATTGAGGAGGAGGGAGAATCGCGCACGGGCTAAGTACAAGGCAACCATGCCTAGTACACCCTTATTTACTGGTATATATATATATATATATAAAAGTGCAAAAGGGTTGTACACATGCTCTTCAGTTGGCGTATTCGTAAGAATATTTTCATGCCAGTTTTTTTCCTTTAAATCCAGATTTGTTTCTCATTTTTGGTGTAGGATGAAATCCATGGAATTAAGTATCAAATCCAATTGTACATGTGTTCTATAAATAAGGCTCCTGGACTAACCAGAAGGTTGTAGGTTCATAACCCTACATATGCTGTAAACCAGGGGTCTCCAAACTCGATCCTGCAGTTTAGCTCCAACCCTAATTATTAAACGCACCTGAACCAGCTAATCAAGGTCTTACTAGGCAAACTAGAAACTTCCAGGCAGGTGTGTTGAGGCAAGTTGGAGCTAAACTCTGCAGAACACCGACCCTCCAGGACCGATTTTGGAGACCTCTGCAGTAAACCAAGGCTCTCCAACCCTGCTCCTGGATATCTACCATCCTGCAGACTTCAGTTCCAACCCTGCTCAAACACACCTGTCTGTAATTATCAAGTAACCCCAAACACCTTGATTAGCTGGTTCAGGTGTGATTGATTGGGGTTGGAGCTGAAACCTGCAGGATGAAAGCTCTCCAGGAACAGGTTTGGAGACCCCTGCTGTAAACACTGTCTGCCTGTGCAAGGCACTTGCTCTAGAGCAGGGGTGTCAAACTCAATTCCTTCTGCAGGGCTCCGGCCCTCCAGGAATTGAGTTTGACACCCCAGCTCTAGAGGTTTGACTAGTTATTCCAAGCAAACCTACTCTTGTTTTGTTTTAGGTGTACCCAATGGTTTGTATGATATCACCATTCACTTTGAGATGACCAAGGAGAACTAAAAGACACCCTGGCGCCACCTCAAGGTTTCTATTTCTCTGTCTCCTTCCTCCGCTCCCCTATGGGTTCCCGAAGTCAGGGGTTCTTCCACCACCAAGATCACCATCACCATCACCAACACCACCACCGCAGTTCAGTGGTGCCCACGGCTGTCCCACGACTGCTGCCTGAGACCAGCAGCCTGTTGGGGGGCATCGCCCAGATCACTCCTTCCCTGTTCCTCGGCCGGGGGAATGTGGCGTCTAACCGCAGCCTTCTCCTGTCCAAAGGGATTACCTGTGTGGTGAACGCCACCATCGAGCTGCCCAACTTCAACTGGCCACACATGGAGTATGTGAAAGTGCCACTGGCCGACATGCCTCATTCTCCAATCTCGCTTTATTTTGACGGTGTGGCTGATAAGATCCACAGCGTGGGCCGCAAACGGGGAGTCGTGCTGGTGCACTGTGCGGCTGGGGTGAGTCGCTCCGCCTCGCTCTGTTTGGCCTACCTCATGAAGTACCACAGAGTTTCCTTGGCCGAGGCTCACGCTTGGGTCAAATCCCGCCGACCCGTCATTCGTCCTAATGGAGGGTTCTGGCGACAACTCATTGAGTACGAGAGGAAACTGTTTGGCAGGAACTCTGTGAAAATGATCCAGACACCATACGGGGTCATTCCCGATGTGTACGAGAGAGACCGCAGGAATTTGGCACCTTACTGGGGCTTGTGAAGAGGGGTTTGGACTTTGGTTCAAGCATAGAGGAAGGGGTCCGCTAAGCGATCTTTGACTCCATTGTGTTCCGGCCTCTTTCTGTACATCCACGTGTCCCTCCTGCCAGAGAATAAAGCCAGATGGGAGTGCTTATGTCCATTTTCAAGATGGAAAAATCACTGAGTCCATATTTTATGAGGTCATAAGTGATAATCCATCCTTGAATGCTGAAATTAAATCTTGGCAATGATAATGTCGGTTTTAGGAGCACTTTGGGAATCAAGTGTGATGCTGGGAATCAGGAATTCAGTCCTTGGTTAAAACTTACCAGTCGTAATATTGTGAGGATGTTGTTTTAGTTTTGCTGTCGTCTTTGTTGAGAGTCAGCAGTCTGATTTTGATTACTGGTAGCATTTGAAAATATATATCTATTAAAAATATTATATTCTAAGGTGTATTTAAACTTGTGCATACTGAAAAATACTAAAAAAACAAGAAAACTATTTGAAGGTTTTGTGAAGAGTGACATGTTTAACAGAAAGATGCTACAATATTATCCAAGTTTAACAGATTTATAAACTATTTATGTAAATCAAAAGAAATTTTATTGAACACCATGAAGGACAGTGTTGGCATTTGTAATGTCAGTACTCCTACAAAACGGGCTGTTTCACAAGAAGCAGAACAATAAATATGGCAATTAAGTAATTTTTTCAATGAATTATATTTAGTCTGTTTGGTCCTTTTGCAGTTCATCTCGGTTTTTTCATTTTTAACTCAAGATGTTTCTTTCAGATGTTTTCTGCAGTGAAGCAGTAATTATAACCAGAGGACATCTGTCAGAGGACTCCTAGCAAAGCTTTTAACTAATACATGTTAAAAAAAACTGAATTAATGTAAAAGAGTTCAGATTTAATTAGTGTTAAAATGAATAAAGGGTGAAATATTTTAATGTATTCCTTGTGCTTATTTAAGGCTTGGTTTTTAAGTAAAGATTTTTTATGTTCAAATTACAGTGAAGCTACATAGTAATATTTGTACATATTAAAAATAACTTAATACTTGTTGATAAAAGTAATGCCTACTGAATATGACTGATGTATAATGGTTTAATGTGTTTTTAATTGATGTCACCATTAAAAAATAAAGGTTCTTTGTTGGCATCTATGGTTCCATGAAAAACATTTAACATCCATGGAATCTTTCCATTCCACAAAAGGTTTAAATTATTAAAATAAAATTAAAAATGTTTCTTAAGAAAGGTTCTTTAGAGAATCCAAATGGTTCTTCTGCATGCAAAAACATTCTTTACAAAGCTATATTTTAGGAGTGTAGGATCATGTCAGGGAATGCCATTTCACTTCCTGTGTATTAAATCTTCCAATGTATTGTAGAACGTCTGGATTAACATGGAGCAGGAAGTCTCTGTAAATCTAATCCCTGCTGTTCAGCGACGACAAGGTGGATAAAGGTTGTTAGTCACGTGTGTATAAAGACAAGGACAGAACATTAGCCACTAACAGCATCAAAATTGCGAGCCGGCTCAAATCCGTATTTTAAACTACCTTTGCCTTTAAAATTTCAACAGGCGCTTGATGAGCAACAGGGTGGAAAAGTTGATCTAACTGAAGTCACTCATCTTCTGTACGTACAGATGGGGACTAAATCATGATGTCTTTCGACAATCATACAAATTCAAAGTCCGGTATCCCTGGAAACCGTTTTCAAGGTAATACTGCTGTGAATGAGCCGAACAGATGAAGGCTAATCACCCCAATGTGGGACACAAAAGTTTCACATTTGCATCCAATACTAACATTCAAATATTTAATTTGCACTTACCGACTTGCATTATAAACAGAAATACAGACAAAAAGGATCATTTTAGTACAAAACGCTCATAAATGAAGTAGAATTGAGTTGAATGATATAATGACAACAATAAAGACATTGAGACAATGTTAAGTCCTCAGTAAAACACTGACAATGACCATCATGTACTCAAAGCCATTTAATCTCGGTTGGATCAGTCGATTCATTACGAGTGCCTCTATGAAAAGAAATGAATTCATAATGAAAGTTTATGTCGCTCTTATAACTGCTTGGGCTGGAAGGAAAAAGACTTCGCTTTGCACTTCTTACATCCCCAGACTTTTGAATTTCCTTCAGTTTCACACAAAGTCCTTCAAAAGAGTCACATCTAAATACCACAGCGTTTAAGAACATCTTCCAGGCTTTTATAAAAGGTTCTCAGGAAATCACAAGCATTCCAGAACCGTTTCCAGACCCACTACTAAAGTGACGTGTTCCAGCACAACAATGACATAAAAGATACCAGCATCTAAATGATTCTCTTGTAATATCTGCTACACTTTTTGATGCTTTCAAATGTTTTACCTTTATTATTTTATTGATTTTATATTACAAGTCTGCTATTCCTAACATGTTCTGCAGTATTTACTTCACATGGTAGAGAAATCAACAGCAAAGAATCAACCAACCAGACACTTTTTTTGTGCATGAGTCAGATCCAAAAAGGTAGAGACAGACACATTTACAATATTTAAATAAACTATTATTCAGTACTACATAATTTATCTGATCTTCCAACAGACAATGGCAGATCTAGACAGTTGCGTCCCAAATTCAAGTGATGAGAGCTGTACTGTTTCAAAGGCAAAACAGCTCAAGTGATTGAAGAGTTCTGAAGGACTCCCATGATGCTTCAGACAGCGGCTCAGGGTTCAGCGCTGCACTGCGCTCGGTTCTAGAGCAGGTCGGGCAGGATGAGACCTGGCGGTTTGGGTTCCACACAGTTAATCCAGAAGTTAGCACAGCTGGCGTGGTACTGGTGACCTCCATAAATGAGCTTGAAGTTGTCCGTCTCCGAATTAAAGGCCTGCAGAGGATATGTGCAAGACAAGGTGAGAAAAAAAAAGATTTATAGGATAAAGTCTGATGTGACTGTAGGGACAGGTTGGGGTTGAACTACTAGGACTGAGGTGGTTTTAAAAGTATGTTTCAGGTTCAATACAAAGGAACCATATCAGTTGTTGGACAATATTAGAGAGCAATATTTGGGGTCATCTAAAACTCAATTTAGACTAACCTTTTAAAACATTACTGTTGAACGTAATCTTTAGAAAATATCAAAACCAATATCCATTTTTCATCCTGTAGCATTTTACACAATTGGTTTTTAGTTTTTAGTATTTTTATTTTCGCCAAAATAGTATTGAATTTTAATATCAGCCATTCATCAGTTTAAGCTATAACATGAAAATAATTATCAGCTTGTCTGTATTGACCAGACTTTTAATATCCCTAGCTAATAGACATCAATATTATGCTTGTTACCATAAGACTAATGTGATAAAGATCCTACTAACCTCTTTCTGATATAATACAATATCTCCAAGACACTAAACACTGAGACCAGAATTTCAGCTCATAACTACGGTTATCATTAACTAAAACTATACATAAAAAAAACCTTTATATTAATTACTTGAAATAAATATTAAATGAAACAAAATATTTTAAAAGAACTTGATTGAAACTTTTTTCAGTTACTTGCCAAGGCAACATTTTGTTCGTTATGTGTTAGTAAAATAACAAACTTAATATAAACTATATAGACATACAAAAAAAACTAATAAAAATAACAAATAATGATCTTTAAAAAAGCATCATATGACCCCTTTAATAGAACTGTGAAATCTAATTCCAACTATTAATGGATAGTTCACCCAAAAATTACAATTTGCTTAAAATGAACTCATCCTCAAGCCATGTAGATGAGATGCAGATGAGTTTGTTTCTTCAGCAGAACAGATTTGGAGAAATTTAGAATTATTGTAAAATTACGGACTCATATTTTGGCCAGTAGTGGCAGTTTAAAGTTAGAATACATTAATGATGCATTTGTTTCTTATAAACTTGCAGCTTTTCACTTCACAAGATGTTAACTGATGGACTGGCATCATGTTTATTACAGCTGATGTTTTTATCAGCTGTTTGGACTCTCATTCTGACGGCACCCATTCACTGCAGAGGATCCATTGGTGAGTAAGTGATGTAAAGCTAAATTTCTCCAAACCTGTTCTGATGAAGAAACAAACTCCTCTACATCTTGAAGAAATCACTGCTCATTGAAGAATTCACATACGCAACTTAAACACAACCTGCTTTTGTTAGTTTCTAAAAGAATGCCAAAATTAAAAATGCACGTCACAGATGCTGCTGATTAAAGCTTAAACTGTATTGAACCCAGAAAATTAGTTTACTACAAGTAAGCAGGGTCTCTATTAGTCACCGACTTGGCTCAACAAGTACTACATTCAACCTGCGTCTCTAAACTACATGTTAGACAGCACATTTATCTAGTCATATCTGACTGCAGTGTGGCATATCATCACACTCCATAAAAGAGACTAGAGCTCAACACCATACTGACATAATTTGTAGGATCAATAGAGAAAAAGAAGTGTGCAATCCTCCCACATACGCCCTATATATAGAAAAGAGAAACAAGAACCCAGTGAACTTCACTCAATATATCGATGTGCAGTGTGCGAGTGTGCTTTCATTCTGAAAGGCACAGCTGCAGTCGTGCATTTGTGATAAGGCAGTGATGATATGGATGTTATGCAGAATGAAGCTCCTAAGAAAAATCTCGGAGCTGATGCTGGAAGGAGAAATTACTCATGTTGTGAATCATGCTCTCCCACACTTGTACTATGCACACACACACTCCATTTCTTTCATATGCTCTTGACAATACTGTCCTCTTTAAAGGATTTGTTAAAAAAGAAACACGAAGATCACAAGGAAATTTTGATATTTGTATCTAATAATGCATACTTTGCTATGTTACAGTTCTACATGGAGGTCTGTTGTAAACCAGAGTAAACTGCTAATTTATCTCACAAATTTTCCTTTACTTCTTGTAATTGCAACTTTGTCTCATAATGTGACTTTAAATTTAACAATTGCGACTTTTCTCATATTATAATAACAATATCATAACTTGCAATGTGACTTCACATCTCGCAAATGACACCATTTCTCATAATTGTGACTTTTTCTCTCACCGTGTGACACTATATTCCACGATGTGACTGTTTCTTATTTTAGACTTAATTTCTCTCACAATTACTTTTTAGTTTTTGTCTAAAGTGCAAAATCTGAAAGCAGCATTTTCAGTGTGGTCAGGACTACTTCCATACACTTGCTGAATTATAAAATGCATTTTGAAACAAAACTATTTTTAGTAAAACAAAAACGTGAAAAATGCTATATTATTTCTAGGTCCCTAATCAAATAAGCGCATTTTTGCACTTCTTTTTAAAATTCAAGTATATATATATATTTACTTTTCACTCAAACTGTTGTGCTGATACTATAATTGAATTCATATGATTAAATTATAAAATAATCAGTATTATAAAATATTACATTTAAAAATGTGCAATCTATTATTTGGCAAAATAGCTATGTTTACATGCACCCAAATTAATCTGCTTATAATCGGGCTGAAAAGCCTTCATGTAAACACTTCATTCTATACAACCGAGCTCAATAAAAATGTAATTGAATTGAAAGATGACGGGTGTAGACCTGAAAATATCCGATCAACAGCAAAAAATAAAATGTATGTAAATGCTTAAATCTTATTATTTTCTCAAATGGATTTAAAAACACCTTGTACACATGCACAATGCCGTGATGCGTAGGTTTACATATATTTCACATCTTACACATGTGCATATGTTTATTCACGTCTCATGAATTATGAACTGGTTAGTCAATGAGACTGAATATTTACTAAATTTTTGCTAAAATGCTCTTCTGACATATACGGCAGCTTTCTTTTTAAGATAAATCAAGGCGAAAACGGCAGCAGCTCTGATGACATTAATGCGATGGTTTTCTTTGGTTCTGAACACACGTGCATTGTTTCAGA